AATTGAAAATATTGCACAAAAGTTTATGTTTGTTTTTGGAACTCTACACTTTGGTCCAGACTTTGGTGCAGCACTTTCTGAAAAATATTCACACATCTTTGTTCTAAATTGTTTCAGATTAATTTATTTCCTCAAACTTCTACACACAAATACGCCGTACAACAATATGGACAAAAAGTTTTTTTTAGATTATTCACCTTTCACAGCAATTACAGGCTTTTTGAATGTGATGCCACAAGATTAACACAACTACCTTTAATCAGCTTGACAAAAGATAAATATTTTCCAAATTAAATCTGCTTGGACGGTTAAACTTTGCTTTATTTTAATAATTCACTACTTGGCACTAGTTGGTGATGAGACACATTTTCTTTGTTGTCCATGACCTTCCTAAAATTTAAAACAAAAAAATGAAAGCATCCCTGATTGAGAGAAAATAAAAGGTTCCTTCATCCTCACTCACAACCTGTCATCATCACTTTACACACCGACTGACGCAGGAACAACCTCACCAGATGATGAGTTTTAAAGCAAAGTGAATGAGCCACAGCTCCCCGTTCTGCTTTTTGTTCACATGTCCTTGTTTCAGTTCAGGTTTTTGTTTCCCTCAAAGCAAACATGAAACTGATTACACAGCATTTTATCAAACCCCGACGTTCAAAGACAAAAAGAGCCCCCTTTTCCAATTAATGTCAACTGATACTAAAGCTGGAGATAATCCGGCACGCAAAAATCCCACAGTCTCTAAAACGTGTCATTGTGGACTCTTCCTGGAAACACCACTGATGAAAGCTCAGCCCAGTAAATTAAAGATAGAAAAGTTTTAATTGTGGTCAGTTCACTTCTTTACAACATAATTTCACAACAATTGAAATTTGTTATGTAATTTTTCTACCACACACATTTGGTATAGGTTTAATTTATTTTTGCACAATTGGATTTCCCAATCTAAGCCTTTAAATCTTTAACTATTTGTTACTTTAAACAGGATTTTTTTACAATGGTTGACATAAAATACTAATTATTATTGCCAATTTTTTTTGGTTCAAATGTTAGCTCAATTAGGAATCAGATACATGTTATTTGACCTGTTTTTCTAATGCTAAGTTGATACAACTGGATGTAAACACTATAATCTGTAAGATTAAACCATACAGCCAATCTGGTTTAGGGCCTGGACGTCACATCTTTCTTGTTTGTCCAGAAATAAGAGCAGGGCTTTCTGGCCCTCAGGCTCTGCTTTGTGCTCTTGAATCAGGTTAGCTGTTGATTATGTGTCAAAACAAAGCCGCAAATAAAATAAATGATAAAACTCAAGGTTTTCCCACAACATTTTGACTCATTGGGCTCTTAATGTTATATTTAATCCATGTGTATAACTGTGATACAACTACCAAAATATTTATTGTGAAAACCAGAGAAAGGTTCTAGTAGTTGCACCGCTTGCCACAGTCACCTGTCGTTATCTTGCTGTTTTAAATGTAGCTATCTTTATCTGAGAGTACTTCAACTGTTTATCGAGGCTTGGTGATTAAAATAACATATATTACCAGATTAACATGAGTGAATGAGATGAGTCTTAATGACTCAAATGTGTTAAAAGATGAGAAAAATGGCACAAAATCACCGGGGGATATTATTTACAAGCAAAATCAACTGTCTTCATAGTAAAATAATAAGCTCTAAATGAGATGAATCAATTAACTAAATAATCATAAAAGACTAAGGAGTCTCTTTGCAACTCCTCTTAAGAGTTGCTAAGAGAGGGAAGGCTCTTTTTTTGTGCTGCTTGTGACAATAACTTCTTAATATCCCTTCATATTATTACAGTTTTCTTAATACGAGTTTTTTTTTTTCCCTCATTGCATAAATGCATAAAAAATAAAAATACATACAGTATTACAATAAGTATATTTAAGTATTATAGGATGGAGAACTATTTTAACACCAACTGCAAAAAAGCAATTAAAGTAAAACCATCTATAAAGATTTTTACTATTTAATAAAATAATAATAAGTGGTGCAAGCAGTACAAAAAGTGACATCAGGTTGCTTTGGAGGGAAGGGGTTTTGCCCAGCTTACACAAGTTACTGTTCCCACAAATGCTGCGTTAGCAAAGGTGAATACATAACCAGTGACCCCTGAGGTGACCCTTGAACCCACTCACCGGAGACAGTGCAATCCCACACAGCACACACCACACACACACACACACACACACCACACACACACCACACCCACACACACACACACACACTTACCACACACAACCCACGCACACACAAACACACACAGATGAACACCAAACCGATCTGCTTTTATCTAGCATCCTTGCCGGTAAACATTTCAGGACTTCGCAAAAAGAGAAATGTAACAGAAACGAGTCAGAGAAAACATAAGTTTAATGAAAGCCAGTGTTTGTCCATTCCACACGAGAACAGCGAGTGAAAAGCCAGCGCCACGGCTGCACAGAAGAATGCTGGGTAGGTCTGTGCACTTGTTGCCCCCAGGAATGCCCTCGCCTCTTATATAAGCCCCCTTTCAGCAAGTGTCTACTCCCCTCAGCCCCCAACTTACAGCCAGCCAGCCTCAGCTGGCTGAGAATCCCAGGGAAAACTGCTTTGTCAGAGAGAAAAGAGAAGCTGTGAAAATGCTGCAATTATGGACTTATGTAATTGCAGAACAGCACTCCGCAACTTGCTTTGCTGCTGACCATTATTACTGCTTGGACTGTTTGGGGATTTGTTGCTAAGTGGAAGACATAAGCCACACATTTCCTATTGGACTTAGAAACTGTGTCCAGATTTAGCAGCAGTAAATACCAAACTTGCTCAGCTGTAAACAATTAGATGTACATTTTTGAAAAACTGAATATTAACCAAAAGTTACATTTACTTCAGCAATTCAAATCACAATGGCTTACAGAAGATGAAAACACAAGATTCAGGTCCTCAAAGAATTACACTATTACATAAAAACACAATCATGGAGAAAGTAAATTATACAAAGTTGAGTGGAAGGACAAAATTTGGTGCAAGCAACAGAGAACCAACCTTGACATGATTACAAACATTGACTGTATGTAGATGTTTTATGAAAACATATGGTGCCAGCGCTGCTTCATTGATATTTTAAAATAATTTCAAAGTCATCTGGCGACTTTATCCATGTATGTGGGTGTTGTTTGTGAACTGTTTATGCAGATATCAGCGGTCTGTCTTTTAAAAGTCTGTAGCTTTGCCGTTTTACTTCACTTTATGGTTGATTGATGAACATCATGTGTTTCCTTTGATATAATTCCTTTGTTTCAGCTTAATGTTTAAAACAAAGGTGTTCAAAATGGGGTTCGGGTTCCATTTGTGCCCCTGCCCTGATTTTTCCCGTCCTCCGAATCACAATTCAAGAAAAAATTAAGAGAAAACTTTAAAATGAAAATCTGCTTACAAAAATGTTACAGGTAACAAAGTTTTCTGCTATTATCATGGTAAACAGAAATACATATTCTAACATACACCCACATTTTCTTTTAGTGTGGGATTAAAAACTTGGCTGAATACAGCAAGTGTTTTCAAATGAAGACTGACCGAGGTTCTGCTTTTTCCCGCAAAACACGCTAAATATTTTTCTAGCCCAGAATAATAACTTTTATTTAAGAAATACACGTGAAAACCACTCGACGTTCCCCGACTGTTTCATTAAAGTAGTTCCTACTTAGTTTATTGTAGGAACTGCAACAATAAACTTGAAATTTCCAAAAATTTTGATTTTAAAAATTATATATTTTTTCACCTGCTAGTACTTTTGAGATGATAATTTTAGCCCATATAATAAATATTTGGACATCCTGGATTTAAGAAAAAATACACAGTTTTAGCTGTAAAATTGTTGAAAAGTAAGACAGACAGATGCGTTTTGTTTCTCAGCTGGACCAAACAGCTGTTTTATTTCACAATGACACATCGGACACTTACTGTGAATATATATAGATATATGTGCATATATATTAAAAACACATCAGCAGACATGTGCTTGAAATAAAAACACTTTCCTTTTCACATAGAGCTCAAGTCATAAAAGACACAGCAAAAGTGACAAAACGCTACAAATGAACAAAAATACATTTCCCAGCACGTTTTCCATATTGCATACACATTTAATAGGGAGTAGAAATCTGAAATGTACCAACTTCAGAAGATATCTGTGGTGACTGACAGGAAAAAGTCATACGAGTTTCAAGGCCACCATATGAACTTTAAATTCACCAAACGGCGAGCTTTATGATGAGTCACTTCCAACACAGTCGTGAGTTATATCGGCGGACTCCAGCAGGCGCTGGGGAGCAGCAGTGAGAGCTCAGAGTAGAGCTGGTAAAAGTCGAACATCAGATCTCGGTTTGGTCATGCAAACACGCTACTACAACACTACATTTTGGTCTCGTTTCTGGTGCAAACGCTTACAAATCAGACAAAGCTGACTTAGAAGTAAGTTTTCACCAAGATATAAGACATTTTCCTCCATGTTTGAAGTGACAAAAAAAAAATCTACTAGTGGAACAAGAACTTTTCAAAAAAATCAAAATTAAGGAATTACTGACTTAAAACGAGCTCCTATATTTTGCTGAAGATTTACTTGCGAGTTAGTTTTGTCTTATTTCAAGCGTAATGAGATATTTACACAAGACACTAAACCAAAAATACTTGGTAAAACTTTGAGTTTGCAGTGTGACAAGGTGCTGAAAACAGCACAAGAAAAGAGGAAAGATCAACCAGCACAAGAAGGTTTTCCAGTTCAGAGTGTGTCGTCGCTGGGCATACAGTGCTCGTTTCTTCACGGTGAGGCATGGGCCGGTTTCAGTTTCAACATTTTCAACAGAAAGTGATGGAGCCCCTCCCCCACTTGTTGTCAGCTGGCTGAAAGAAGCCTAATTTAAATCATAATTAACAAGATTTACTAATCAGACAGAAATGCTGTAATATTGCCACAATCATAGTGGAAATAATTGTTGTTTTTGTTTTAAATAAAGTTAAAAAGACTGAGCTTTGCCGTTTTATTGTGAGACTGTGAAACTGCAAAAGTTTTTGCTGTCTTACCGGCACATGCCTCTTCACAACAGACTCACTTCAAGCCAGTGAGGCTTAAAAATGTCCAAACCTACCACTGCAAGAAATCCTCAAACCGACTACAAAACATTGTCATAAACCACAGCAGAGTCTTTAAAAGGCGAGGTGAGAGGTGTCTGCGTCAAGGCCAGAGGAAAGTCCAACGACAAGATCTTTAGAAAAACATCAAATCTGAAAATAGATCACTAAAACATTTCTGTTTTTTGTTTTTTTTATTCAAATAAACTCCTGGACAAAAAAAAAATCCTTCTGTATCATTTAAACTAAATCTCATAAAACAGCATCTACAGAAAGATAAATCATTTCTAATAACTTAAATACTTAAATTATTATGAAATACAATACTATTCCACTTGCAGCCAAAAGGATAAGAAAATAGATTTGATCAAAGCCCACGCAAAACAACGAGGACTCATTTTACCAGAAGGTCCGTAGGCTCGTCTTCACAACTCGTCCGTTTGTCCCCTCGGTTCTGCAGCGAGAAGCTTTGGCACAGAAAAACCCCCCGACACCATTAGGATGAGGTTACACATCACGACGAGATGCTAAAAACGACGGACAGTCGCGCAGGCGTCGCTCCAGTCCTGGAGATGAGGTCCGTGAAAAAGACGACGAGCGTCAGAACCGTGCTGCCAGAGCAAGAGATGATAAAGCCAGAGGGATCAAATTCACCAAAATGTTGGAGAAGTGATCGGAAAAAAATAATTACTTTTTAATCGGGTCCGGAACGGGTCCAAGAGATTACAGCCTCCAGGAAGTGACGGTGGTTCACCTGCTTCGCCTGTGCATTTCGTTTCACAGCGACGACTCCACCTCTTTGCGGACGGCTGCCTTCGCATCAGTCTGAGACACCTGGATGACAGTGGTCTGCTCCGGGGTCTCAATAACGACGTCCACAGCTGAGGACGCTGTTGCTGCTGCTGCTTTGGGTCAACGCCACCCTTCTGTTTGTCTGCAGACTCGCAGCACAACTTGAGGGCGCACTGAGTCCGACAGGACAGCTCGCACAGGGAGTCCCGCGACTGGGAGCTGAAGGTGACGAACTCCGGCTGGATGGTGGTGGCGTGGATGCCCTCGTCGTGAAAGAAGTCCTTAATGCGTTTGGCCACCTCCATGTAGGACGTGGGGTCGCGGCACTTGATGTGTGCGGTGGCGATGATCCGGCTGCCAGCCAGCTGCCAGATGTGCAGGTCGTGGATAGCCAGCACGCCGTCCAGGCTCAGCAGCCGCTCGTTGAGCCGTCTGATGTTGACTTGCTTGGGCACGGTTTGGAGCAGGATGAGAGCCGACTCTTTGAGCAGCGGGTAGGTGGTGTAGAGCAGGATGCACACCATGATGATGCACAGCGTGGGGTCCAGGTACAGCACCCAGCAGGGGCCCGCTATCTCCGCTGTACCCGTCTGATTAACGGCCTGGAGGTCTCCATCGCGGTTTCTGACGCAGGGGTTCACGCAGTTCTTGTCGGTGCACGGCTTCCACACGAACGTGAAAATGAGGGAGTTGACCACTACAATGACGGAACCCAACGCGTCGCCCAGGACGTGCAGGAAGACGCCACGCATGTTGAGCTGCGCCGACGAGTCCTGGTCGTCGTCGAACTGGGCGTTGCCGTTCATCTGCACCTCCAGGTTGTCTTTACTGCTGACATCTGGAGATAAAAGATCCGGGAGGTGAGTTCATATCACTGCTGCATGACAGCCGAGCACTCAAATGGACTTTGACACAGATGTACAACATTTAAATAGACACACAGAACGAGAAACTGGCTGCTTATCCTAATAAAGGTCTGCAATATTAACGGTTGGAAAAAATGTCAATCATTTCCATCATTAAAGTTTGAAGAAAAGCCTCAGCACTCAGGGTTGGCTGCTTGTAGAAGTAGTCATTTTCAATCCAAAAGAAAATTCAAAATCTTCCTCTGATTTTTGTTAAACTAAAAAAAAAAACAGAGTCAAAGTGCATGCTGTATTTAACAAGTAGGAAACACCCTTCACCTTTATTAAAGTAAAGTTGTTTGAGCTACAGGTAAGCAGCAGAACGGCTGACCGATGCTAACGAGCAAAATGGAGTAACATTCTGCACAGTTTGAGAAAAAAAAAACATCATTATAGCTGTAATAATAGATATTTTATATGACAAAATTATGCATAAATGCCATTTTAAATTAAATTATAACATACCTTTTGTTGTACATTTCAATAATTTATACAGCAATACTAAAAAATATTGTGTATATTGTGTTTTATAACCTCATGTAGCCCAAGCCTTCGCAGAAAGTAACTTTGAAAGTTAACCAACTTTTAAAGCAAGATTAATAATTAAGACGTACAAGTGTTTTAACTTTTGCACATTTTTGCATTTTCTAATTCTAAACACTGGTGGGTTTTTGTGGAGCGTGGGGTCCAGATACAGCACCCAGCAGCCCATTATTAGTGGTGAAAACAGAGGACAAAAGCATACCAAACAACCTTGATGGATTAAGCGCAAGAATGAACTCCCAGCATGTTGTACCCTAAATACAACACTCCACACACAATTCACATTAAGCATATTTTAATTAGTACCTGCAGGCAGCGAGGAGCACAAACGGGAGGGAGCAGCACCTGAGGGACGGCGGCACTCCCCCTCCCTACATCCTTGGGCACCGTCTGGTCATTCATCAACAGCTAATGGTGTGTCTGGGGCTGTCGACTCCACAGCTACACTGATGTATGACCCAGTAACAGCAATCAGTGCACAGAGAAGGGGATACAGCGGCCATTTATTGAAACTGGCACGGCCGAACGGTATGGAGGGGAAAATGGTCTTCTGTACATGAGATTAACCCCTCAGTGAGCGAATAAATGAAGAAGCCTGAAGGACGTAGGGACCAACCGCAGATCTGCCGTTTTACTCCCAACATCATCCACTTACAGAAGTGAAGAGCCTTTTGTGCCAGTTTGTAGTAACAACACCGCTACACGACTCTCAGCATCACATAAAAGAACTCACTTTATGGGAAGCTGTGCCAACATGACTTTGCTCAATTTGCTCAATTTTGCTCAATTTAATCCATTTCAAAGATATCTCCTGAATGAGTCATGTCGTTTATTTCAGGCTTTGTAACAGTTGAAGAGCGTGAAATCTGTGGCTTTACTTGCTTATATCAGTGATTGTGGCCACAGCCATGACTCAATAAATGTGAGACAACAGGCAAACATGCATCAGCACAATGGCTGTCAAGGAAACAGTAGATTAGTCACTGCTGCAATTGTCAAGACAAAGCAAGGATGTGATTTTAAGTAACCTGGGGTGCTAGAAGTTGATTTTAAGCTCAATAGAGTCACAATATACCTTATAACCAATCATGAAAGATTTCTGCATCAATGCCACCTGGGCGTACACCATCCCATAGTGTATACACATTTTTGCTTCTCCGTTTTTCTAGGTTTGAATGCCCTAATGTTCAGGAATAATCTTCCCAATACAAAACCAGCAGATTCAAAAGAAAGTTGAAGTGAATATTTTAACTTTTCAAAGAATAATATCAAACTTAGGATGAAAACTGATAAGTTTGTTGTTTTATCTGCCAGTTTATATCTCTGTGGTTACTAAAGATAACCTCTTTGTAAGTTTTAGGCTCTTGGTCAATTTGTACCCACAATTCAAAGAAATTCATTGTGTACTCAACCATCTAATGGTTACTGTTCTTGCAGGCTGAGTATTTGTGATGAATTGTGGAAATAAATCGTTACAGAAATGCTCAAATCTCATCAAAATGGGCACAGAATGTTCCCAAAGCTAGTAGTTATTGACCAGAGGTCTGTATGTGAGGCGAAACATCTTTTTAATATAAACAGTTGGAAAACTAAAAAAACAGAAGGGGTTGAATCTCCAGATCAGGAAAGCTGTGATTTCTAATTTTTAAAAAGTTTGACCAGTTGACTTCTAATGTGTGGTGCTGCAAGATTCATCACATTTCAAGAGGTTTGACCCAAACTTTATATACCCACCGGTTTTTGACCTGCCATCACCCGGACTGCTGTGACTCGCCACCAGGTTGTTGGTCTCCTCCGCCGCTGACCCATCCCCACTGTTCTGGAGCTTTTTGGGTTTCCCCGTTTTCCCCTTTTTCCCCTTGTCCCCATGAGAGTGTCCTCCCCCGTGGGAGTGTCCTCCCCCGGCGTGTCCGTGGAACAGCAAGAGCCCCAGCACGTTGACAAGGAGCCCCGCGGCGCCGACCCAGACCACCACCATAGGAGTATCAATCTCTTGGGGTTCGGTGAAGCGCTCGATGGCTTCCAGGACGATGGTGAAGCACAGCGCCGTGAGAAAGATAGCGTTGACCAGAGCCCCCATCACCTCCGCTCGGATCCATCCGAATGTGTTTTTCTTGGTCGAGTGGGTTCTTTCGGCAAACCGCACCGCGACCAGAGCCACGACCAGCGCCAGAACGTCCGACAGCATGTGGAAGGAGTCCGAGAGCATCGAGAGGGACGAGGTGATGCGGCTGACCACCACCTCGACGACGAAGAAGCCGAAAGTCAGTGCGAGCATACATAGCAACCGGACACGGTTGGGTCCGCAGGCCATTTTCGCTTCCTGGTGAGCCTCGTCGATTCAAGTTCACAGAGAGATAAGGCTTCACGGTGTCCTCCGGGTGCAGCTACATCCAAAGAGCGGAAATCATGGGAGTTACAGGCTTCTAGGAACCGTGTGAAAACCCGGAGGACGTCACCAGCATATCCCTGACTCCTCTGCCGACGAGCTCTGCTTTGCAGACGGTTGAAACTTTGCACCCGAGTCGGTAAACTTTCCACACGAACCACGGCACCGCGAGGACCCGCCTATAAGGGCTCCTATTGGACGATTGGTCAAAAGAAGGAACACGATTGGTCAGGTTTTGAAACTGAGTTTAGTAGGAAGTACAAATAAGTCGAACAACGGAGGTTGCTAGGAACGCTTCATCTTTCCTGTAATCTCGCGATGCCAGTCTTGAATAATTTCCGAAATGAGTAGTATCGATACGTCACGAGGGCTTTCTACTCAGCGAAGATGAAACGTTACACACATTTTAAAAACAAAAAAACTTTTGAATGACATCTTGAAAGTTATTGTTGTGTACTGCTAATCAAATTAAATACTTTTCACTATAAATTGTTAAATATTATGACAAATCTAAATTTTTTAATGTGATGCTTTTGGCCACAATTACCTTAAATTCTCTATCGCAAAAGTAGCGAGATTATTATTACGCTTGTTATAAATATACGAGTGTCCGATGTATTCAAAGGCCAAAGTTACACTTTTCTTAAGTGCTTAAAAAGTATTTTATAAGTCTAATAATTGTTTTCTATCATCATTGAAGTTTAATGCCCAAAATTAACTATATTTATATGCTAGTTAAGTTTATGCATCCATTTGACTGTGATGGTAATTTCATTTTGTAACAAATAAAAGGCAAGGCTTTAAGCATTATTAATGTTACATTAAGAAATTCAGCAGTGAGACGCCTTTGGACACAAATGCATTTTGAATAAAAACTTGTCTCCATCAGTAAGGAAAAAGACACTCTTTAGTTTTGTTACCAAACAAAAATATATACTGTTACCATACATTAAGGTTCCCAATTAGTCCTAAAAACTTAGGAATTTATTTTGACATTGTCACAATTCTAAATGCTTCATTTGTCAAACAATTAGGGAAAATAAGTAATCTAATTCTGTCATTCTGCTCATGATTGTTTCAATAGCCATTTCCTTTTTAATCACATCAAACAATTAAGTATTGATTGTTGGATGCAAACTGTTTCTGCTCCATTGCTTGTGATTACATTTTTCACAGAAAACTGATGACCCCTTGTGGGGGTCATCATTAAAGAGTGTCTTTTTAAATGTAATGCTAATGGCTACTTACTAGAAAGCTGTTAAATACATTTGCCTGTTTGCAATGAACAATGACACGTTTTATTCCCACAGGAATCAGTTTTTAATATTTACAATATTATCTGTAAGGCTCACAAATAAAGCAGAATTATACAGCGCACATTAAAAATTGCAATAGCTGCCTATCATTTTAAAACCACTCACACAGAGTGTAAAATAAAACTTTAAATACTATGCATATATATGAATTAAATTAAAATCCAGTGTTGAGAATTTCACATTCAGCCTTGAATTAGACCGCATCTTTTCTTTTGGTCAACGGATGCCGAGGATCTGCCTGCTTTTGAACTGACAGATTTTCTCCACTTCACTCAGTTTTTGAGCGCGCAGATTAGCGGTTTGCAGCCGCCGCAGCATTAAATCCTGGTATGGACCGCCAGGCATATGGTTCTCTTTGCTTTCACCTGCAAAGTGGACTTTCTTCTTGCCGGGGGACAGATCCTCCGGATCTAGAGCAAAACAGCAAAGAGGCAAGTGACCAACACAGAAAAAAATCAGATTAAATTTTTAATAACCAGGTCATTTGAGGTTGTAACTAATGAGCTAAAATTCTGATGCGAGGTAATTAAGCCACCATTTTTGTATAAAAACTTTATTTACATGATATAAATATGTTCATCCAGTGATTAAAATTTAAAATTAATAAACCAGAGCTGTTTTCAGTTGAGTTCAGGCTTGGTTTTGTAAGTGGTAACATCTTCGTTGGATTCCCATACCTAAGTCTTCGCCATAAGCCAGGGTCTGGTCCTTCTGTTGCAGCCGACTGTAATTCTTCAGTAAACTCTCTGCTCTGAATCACAGGCGAGACCAGAAGGCAACGTTTCAGTTAGCTGAAAAGACTCCAAGTGTACCCACAGTACAGGTACAATGAGTTTAAATTTAGATTATTCCAAGTGTTACCGTGCAAGCTTCTCAGTAGTTAGTCGCTCACGTACGCACAGTTCCTGCTCCCTTTCTGCCATCAAAAACAAGACCATTTTAGTTTCCCAAAAATATTTTTTTCTTGCACATGTTTCTTCTAGACTCGATGATGTCAGCCAGGAACTGTGGAAGTAAAAGTAGGTCAAAGTTTAATTGCAACACTTTTACAAAAGGCAGCATGAACAAACCTGTAGTCATCAATACAAAGTGCCAGCTGTGTTTTACAGTGTAGCCAAAGTAAACCTCAATCACATAGTTTCATGCTGAGACTCTAAAACTTCCTGAAACAGAAATAGTCAATAACTTAGAAACAAAGTACGATGTTCTCCAGAATGCCGTCACTGAATGCTAACATGCCGTAGCATTTTCTGCAAGTTCTTGCAGTTACAACAGTTAATTGTTCAGGAACTCAGGACTGATTGGTGATCAAACTGAAATGCTCTCAGATTTTTGCTGTAGAATTTTATTTGCTATGATTAGCTTTATTATTTTATATGTTGCTAAAAGTTCAACATTAATCTCTTTCATGTTCAAACTATTTAGCGGTTTCTCCTGGAAATGAGTTCAGTTTTCACTCTTCAAGTTGTGTGATTTGAGCTGCTGTTTCACTTCCAAAACAAATTATTTTCCATGTCCAGATTTCTGGATGTAATTCATTTTTTTCAGTTTGCTTTTTCCACAGGATTATGACACATTTTCTTTCTGAATTCCACAAAATCTCAGCAGAAAGTTTGTGTAAATCTCTGCACATTCAATTATATAAAAAGCTGGAAAATGTTAGAACAGTTCTCTACATTTATTTAATTATGTCAGAAATCATCATAGTGTACAATTAAAGTTGGTTTTTGATACAAGATTCAAAATAATCATTTATAGTGTCGAATGAACTAGCCAGTAGTATGTTAACACTTCCTGTCAAATCAGGACTAAATCTTAAACTATGCATTTTCTTAAACTAATCTGGTGTTTAGTTTTGTTTAATGTTAGTTTAATGTTTTGTTTGGGATCTTCACCAAGGGCAGTTGTGGATTTCAGGGTCTACTTTGAAACTGATTTAAAATTGTACTACTGCCACAAGGGCTATGAATCTGCCATAGTATAATTAAATGTAATCTGTGGCTTCACAGTGACTTAAAAACAACATTATATTGGTTAAAGTGTTTCCCTTAGGGCATTATGTGGTAAATCAAATATAAAAGATGCCCATTGAGATTTGAATGCTTTAGAAAACAAAACAGTCTGTAAACCAAAATCTTTTCAGACTCCATTTCTTTTTTCAATACTCAAGATCTGAAAACCACAAGAAAAAAAAAGTTTCTGCAGACTGCAAGAACATCGTTCAGTTTAGTTTGTCATGGGCAAAACTGAGATTTTCAGATTTTAAGCTGCTTTATATCACAACTCCAAAGGTTTCTGGATATATCTGCACAGCACTCAATCAGTTATGGAATATTCTGTTTGTGCCTCCCCACTTACTCTCCAACCTCTCCTCCCGGTCCTTCAGCGCCTGCTCTCGGTCCCGCAGCGCCTGTTCTCGGAGTTTTAGCTCCGCCACAGAGACGGCTTTTGTTTCAGTCGGCTTCTGAGGGGCGCAGTCTGATCCTACAGACTTCCTGTGGGCCCGCGCCTGCACCTTTCTCTGCTCCTCAGCAACGCTGTCGCTCAACAAACTGCTCTGGAGGATGGACTCCACGGATGGCCTCAGGTAGTCCTGCCGACGAAGAGGACGACATCCGGCATCCTTACAGGTGCAGATGCAGGTTCAGTTCAGGGAAAACCAAGTTAATATTGCAAACCTTTAAGTTGAGCATTCTGCTGAGCAGGGTGTTGAGCTCTTCGGAGTACCGGAAGGGGATTCTCCTGAACTTCCCCTCTCTGATCTTCTCTGCTAACTCCTTCTGGTTATACGCTGTGAACGGAGGCCTGAACAGGAAAACAATCAGCTTGATGTGCTGTAAAACTGCTTGAGAAATCTGTTCCGCCAAACTGTGTGTAGAACAACTTACGACAAAGCACAAAGTTCATACAGCAAACATCCCAGAGACCAGATATCAGACTTCTCATTGTAGGACATCCTATTTATTTGCTCCTGAAAGAAACAGTGACTGAATTACAACATGACCAGTTTTGGCTTTAAAGATGAAGCTGATTTTAAAAAAAAACATAATATAAAAAGAGGAACACTTTCAGATTTTACTTTGCAACCAAAAACTGACGCATTTTACTGTATTCACTTGGATCTGCACATTAATTTGAAAAATAGATACATTTATGTAAAAACATTTTTTTTAAATGAAGCCTTAAAAGGTACCGTAAAAGTAATAATAAATTTTAGGTACTAAGACTTAAGAAACTCCATCTGAATCTAAATAATCCATCTCCAGAAAGATAATCACATCCAAGATGCAACTCACTGGAGACATGTAGTATGGCGTCCCAACAAAAGTCTTTGCGAAGCTCGTGTCGTGGTTCAGAATCCTCGCCAGACCGAAGTCCCCGAGCTTGACGTTCTGCTTGATGTCGAGGAAGATGTTGGCTGGTTTCAGGTCCCGATGAAGAACCGTGGCCCTGCCGTCGCTCCGGCTGTGGCACTCCTTCAGGGCTAAGGTGAGCTGCGCCATGACCCGCAAGATGAACTGCTCCTCCAAATATCGCCTGGAATGCAAACAAATTTGTAACTTTGTAAATGTGTAATTGAAGAGAAGAAAAGCAAACATCACCACAGAAAGGACCTTTCTTTGATGCACCGACTGATGAGACTGGCCAGATCTCCGCCTTCGCAGTACTCCATGACAATGTACAACGTGGTGTTGGTGCGGTCGATGATGCGGTCGTAGTACCGCACGATGTTGGGGTGCTTGAGCTCCCTGAGGAGATTGACCTCTGACACCAGCATCTGCTTCTCACTCTCTGCCATGGTGCCATAATCCAGCTCCTTCCACACCAGAATCTGCACAACACAAGAACATTAATTACCCAG